GAGAAACCTTGCCAAAGTCCATAAGATTGTGAAATCATACCAAAGCTGGTTGCCTCGCAATGCAGTGAATTAGACTTGGCTGTAGCCTGCAAATGCCAATAAAATTCAGCTGTTAGTTCGCACAATATTTCTCATGCCATATTCCATAGTTAGGTTTCATGTCTTTATATAGCTCGAATACAAATAGTGCATATCATCACAACTTTACCGATATCAAAGCTACATCAAGAGTTTGCTCCATTCTCTAGAGGGTTATCTCCGGTCGGAAGTATTGCTTCTTCGCTAAATCTTCAAGAGTGCCGACCACATTTTTGGCCAAATTAGCATAGGCTTGGGATACAAAAGAATCGGGATTGGATATTACAATAGGGACACCTTCATCAGAACCGCTTCTGATCCCCACCTCCAAAGGTATCTGTGATAGTAAATCCACATATCATAATTTAGAGCATGTTTGGTAAAGCTTAACTTATAATTTACGCTGGTCAAACACACTTTTTTTAAACACACAACTTATAAGCACTACCAAACAAGCACATACTGAAAGATCAAAATCTGCTATCATACCTCACCAAGAAACTTCATACCCAATTCATCAGCCGTCTTTTGAGCCCCTCCCTTGCCAAAAATATAGTAAGGCTCACTGCAGTTTGGACATTTGAAGTAGCTCATGTTCTCCATGATTCCTAAAATCTGCAAGAAATATAACATCTATATAAATTATATAAATAAAAGGGGAGAAAGTTCATGAGTATGACAAATTGGCATTGATGCTTTATGACAAATAGAATATTGATTTCAACTTAGGAATATTAAAATTCAAATTTAACAATTGATTATTACAATAGATAAAGATTGAACTAGACATTGACAGAGAGTAAACCAAGCAAGCCACAGAAGACTGCAACTTCCATTCTTAAAATTAATATTTTCGCTACTGTCATATTACAACATTGATCGTAATATAAATCTAGACAATGTAGTTTGTCGTGCAGAAGAATCATGTTACTTGACCATGAGCCAAGAACATAGAATGCAGGCCACACACGTCACTCTTAAAAAAAAAAAAAAATTCACCGGGTGAAGGAGGGGAAAATAGTACACATGCATCGAGAATGATGGTTAAGATACACAATCTAT